CTAAAGGAGTAGTGCACTGATGGATGTAAAGTCTTTTGCAGGAGATGTTTTCTCATAGTCTAGCGTGACCAATCAGCAAGATGCAAAAGATCGTCTGGCACTATTTTGAAGGACATCAAGAGAGGTATAGTTGATGTCCTGGCCATATTAATCCCTCAACCAAGATCAGTAAATCAACAAAAGTGGTTGTAAACAAAACATAGGGAGAAAACTCCATTTGGCCATATCTCCGATACCACTTTCATTCCGTCACATATTCCCATGCATGTCACATCTCTCATGCTTCCTCCACGCTCCTGAATCAAACACAACACCTCCGAGGTTCAGAGTTCAGATGACATGTAATGACATTATCGAATCTTTGAAATAAACATGAAACTTTAAAAAAAATTACCATCAACATTCCATCTGGAAAAAACGCCCTTCTTCCCTTTGCGTTAAACTGTCAAACAAATACAGCTGGTGGAATATCCCATTGAAGTAACTTTAATGCTTTACAGATAAATCACATCAAACAAAGATCAAGTTAATAAAAGATAATAAAACTGGCTGAGGCTACTATGAAGGACTCTCCTTCTCAATCTCTCCCCTTGCCTGAGGCATGATGACCCTCAGGTTACACCACCACCAGTCATCTCTGTCTAATGAGATAGCAGCCCTATGGCACCTTTATATTTTACCTCTCATACCCTTCAATGTTACAAAACTCCCTTGTCTACTCTCACATCTTCTACCTTCTATAAACTTGAGCTCATCCAAAGTTCTGCTGTCTTTTTAGTTCCTGATTAGCTGAGGTAGATTGGCTATACTAAAATTGCTCATAGTGTCCCAGGATGTGCAGGCTAGGTGGATTGTCTGTGGGGCATGCAGGGTTACAGGAATAGCAGGGGGGCGCGGTGTGGGACTGACTGGGACGCTGGTCAGAGGGTCAGTGTAGATGTGATTGGCTGAATGGCCTGCTTCCACACTGTGGGGATTCTATGAGGTGCTTCTGATGTTGGGACTCCAGGGGAAGTTCAAGATAGACAAACCACTTCATGTCTGACGATGAAGAAGTTTGCAAACATTTCAGTTTTATCCTTTGTACAGACAAACGGGGCTGTGCCATCATTCGTGACGTGGTGAATGTAAAATCTCCTTCTCCAGTTATTTGTTTCACTGTCCAACACAATTCACTATCGGATGTGACATGACCTCAGACCTTTAATCTGGTTTTTCAGCTTTGGGATCACATAGTTCTGTCTATAGCATGCTGCTTCTGATGGTGAGACTGAACATATCAAGGGAGGTGATGGAGGAATCTGGGACATTGATTGACAGGAACGATTCTGTGGATATGACTACATCAGACTTCTGCTTGAACAGTTTGTAACATGTCTTTCCCAGTTCTGGCATAAATCCTCAGATATTGGCAAAGGGTGATTTTCCTTTGGGTGGAATGTCCCTTTGTTTAAATGGTGTCTTGGTTTATCACAAGTTGTCCAACTTTTATTATTTGAATTTTTTATTGTGGTTTATATAAGTCAGGTTTGAAGTTTTGGATCATTTTCAGACAAAAATTCTCAATGTTTCAGAGTTACCACAGATGATGGACACCAATGGCTAATTCACAAAGGAGATGGATATGGGATCTCATCTCAGACCGTTGTCACTGATGCTGCTCACATGTCAGATCGGTGGACAGTGAGTATATATGTTTTTTGGAAGTTCTGATTCAAGTCCAAATTAATTTACAGAATATAATATTTATTAACATCTTTTCTCATTGTGCAGGTGACGGAGGAGAGGCCAGTTGAGGGACGTACAGTCGGAGACTTTGTGGAAGCTGGTGGTCAAAACTATGATGTACTCACTGACAACTGCCACCATGCTTCAAGCAGAATGATGGGTCAATAGACAATTCTGTTACTATACTTCATGGATTGTAATTTTAGAAATGTATTTATGATCCGAGTTAGAAGTCAGTCAGCCAAATTAATGTAAATTTAGGTTTCTTGTCTGATGTAAAACAAAAAAATAGAAAGGTATCCTTAATCTGCTTGGACTTTAGGATGCAATCCTTTCAATTTCCCCATAAACTACAAGGAATCCTCTGGAGAAAGCATACATAAAAATCTTCAGAATACAATGCAACAAAAGGTACTGAATATATGGCACAGTCTGACCAGATTGCTGCAACATACCTTTAGAGGAATGCAACGTTATGCATTGCAAGAATTGTAAAATGGCTGAAATTGTTCCTGTAAAATGTATTAAAATTATATATGATTTCAAACTGCAGAGTGGATATTTTGATTGCATACTTCACAAAGGGATTCATTCTGAAATCTGCAATTGGGGGCTTGTTTATCATTACTCACCAACGATAATGCCTCGAAGTGTCTTGCAAATGTAAAATTGCTTTTAACCTGTTACTATCATATAAAACTCTTGCATCTTATTGTTTTATTCCTGCTTTTCAGATTAACCCATTTTCATCTTTACTAATGCTGACATTCTTCCCTGTGAAATTTTGTTATTTTCTGTTGCAAACCTCTGCTTCCACCACACGTACTCAAAGCTGGAATATTTAACTGGGAATTTTTTAAATTCACTCATGGGCTGTGGGTGTCACTGTCTGGCCAGCATTTTATTGCCCAACCCTAGATGACGTGGAGAAAGCTGTGGTGAGCTGCTTCCTTGAACTGCTGCGATCCATGGGTAGTGGGTAAACCCACAATGCCCTTAGTGAGGGAATTCCAGGATTTTGATCCAACAACAGTGATGGAACAGCAATATATTTCCAATTCAGGATGGTGAGTGACTGGGAGGGTAAGCTACAGGTGGTGGTGGTTCTTATGCACCTGCTGCCCTTAACCTTCTAGATGGCAGTGGTCATGGCTCTGGAAGAAGCTGTGTAAGGATCTTTGATGTATTTGTGCTGTGCATCTTGTAAACAGGATGTGCTGTCAATGGTAAATGCTTGTAGATATGATGCCAATCAAGTGGGCTGCTTTGTTCTGGATGGTGTTAAGCTTCATAAGTGTTGTTGAAGCTGTACCTATCCAGGTAAGTGAGTACTCCATTACATTCCTGACTTGTGCCTTGTTAATGGTGGACAAGCTTTAGGGAGTCAGAAGTTGAGTTACTCGCTGCTGTATTCCTAACCTCTGACCTGCTCTTTTTGCCTCTGTATTTATGAGGCAAGTCCAGTTGGGTTTCTGGTCATTGGTAACCCCAAGGGTGTTGATAGTGTAGGATTCAGTGATGGAACTAATCTTCTTACTACATACCAGGTAGCAATCTCACATTTAAATTTAACAATTGATGCAACATTAATTACAATAAAAATCCACTAAATCTTCCCCATATAGTAGCACCTGAACAGATGCAGCCTGAAGCTAGTTCCCATCCGAGCATTCACACAACCCAGACTGACCATCTCTCACTGACCTGACCCAACTAACCTCCCCCACGATCTGACTACACTCTGACAAGGCAACACACAGAACCCAACTACACACCCTGATACATCCCAAATAACCACCTGACCCAATTACTCACCCAGGAGGGAAGTTTCTGCTGTGCCATGTCTCAATGGGGCAACAAAGAGAAAGTTACGGAGGACAAGGGAACATCGGATTTGGGAGCAGAGGTTGGCCATTCATCTTCGAGCCTGTTCTGTAACTTCATGGCCAATTTGATTGTAGTTTAAACTCCATCTTTCAAGCAGTCGTTACGATGGGGAATGGCCAAACCCCTCTGATAACTAAACTAAAACACAAGCCCCGATCTGTTATGACAGGAGTAGGGATTCCCCTCCAATAATTACCCCCCAAAATACACAGACAAGCTCGTCTTTCCCCTTGTAATCTATTAAAAATGTGGTTAAAAGAAAGAAAGTCTTTGATCTCCACTCTACAATGAACAAGAAACAATTTATTTATTTAACCCAGTAATGAACAAATTAACAAAATTACCAACAAGCCAACAGTTTCCCCTTAGACAACTAACTGCAGCCTAACTGGTCTAAATTCTACTGGAATGCTGTTTAATTAAAAAAAATAGTCTCACTAATGTCAACTCAATTAATAAGGAGCAATGAATTCTAACTTAATCTCTTCAAGTTCACTCAGACTGTCTTCTGGAATCTTCTGTCATCTCCGTTCTCTTCACAAAGGCCTTTCTTCCATTAATTGTACTGTCAGGGATGTTTTATCTCTATAATTTCTTCAGTGAAGAATTTGAGCTGAAATACCATGGTACCTGTAATAAATTAGATGGGCTTTCTCTGAGAGCTGAATGGTGCTGACTCTGCAAGGTGGCGGATGGCTCTCCCTTTCAGATGGCAGTTGGCTCTCTCCGATTTCCCAAATGCCCTCGTCTTATATGCCCATAATGACATGATCCAATTATTATAATATGATTGGTTTCAGTTTGTCAACACCATCAGATTTAAATTCAATTGTCTTTCTGTATCTCGGTGCTTTGTTTAAATAAATTGGCCAAATTCAAAGTCATTGTCACAGCATGAAAACAAGACTACTGTTCCATTAATAGGTACAGGCAGCAAGCTGTGGAAGGGATCATTATGGCCAGCTGACTGCCCCTTTACTGTGGCTGCGTTCATGCCCGGGTGTCACTGGAGAAGGAGCATGTGGTGTACACCAATACTATCCATTCTTTTTGGGTGAGGTGGGCACCGCGGGGTGTGGAGTGCCTTATCTCCCCCTCCAATTCCATTTTGATTTGATCCCTACCTTCCCCCTCACTTTTTCTTTCACGTAGGCTTTGCAACTAGGGGCTCTGCTTGATACTGATTCTTTGATCACATGGGTGTTTTTTTTCCCTGGTGGCGGTATGTTAATAAAGTTATTTGCACTGTATCTGACACTTGCACACGCACAACAAGGGTACCGGGGGAAAATAAGCATTATGGCTGTCCTGCAGTAGTGTTGGGTCTTTAACAAAAAAACCATAACCAGGAAATTTATGGTAAAAATAAACAAGACCGCTGTTTTGCCTGCTACGTATAAGGCTTTTTTGACACAGTTGTTTCACTTTTTGAGGCTCTCCATACTGACAACTTCAGCTGTTGCTCACAGACATACATTTGTTTAAAGAATTTCTAAGTACAGACAAAGCACAAATCTCTTAAAGGAACCACACATTTTAGCTTCCTGCCTTCCACTTCACAATGACTCTACTCAACTTGGTAACACCTGCCCTCTGAAGAAAAAATGAACCATCATTTTGAAAAAGATAACAGCGTGTAGAGCTGGATGAACACAGC